AAAATAAGGGCGTTTTCTAACACTAAGTCGAGCAGCGCCCGCTCGGTGTTGCCGAAGGCGACAAAAGCCCCCTCGCTGACGTCGAGGAGCTCGCCCATGCGCGCCAACCGCTCGGCCTCCCGGACCTCGTCCCGCGCCGCCCGCTCGGCCTCCCGGACCTCGCCCAGCGCGCCCCGCTCCGCCTCCTGGAGGAGAGCGAGGGCGTCGTCCGCCCGGCGGCGCGCCTCCGCCCGTGGCGAGGCGGCGTCGGAGATTTGCGCGAGGCGGTAGTCGGCGTCGTAGGCGGCGATGGCGCCCCTGAGGGAGACGATGGCTCGGCGCGCCGCTTCGGCGGGCAGCAGAGCGAACGAGCGCGGGCCCTCGGCACCCAGCGTCAGCACCGCCAGCGCCTCGGACGTCTTGTCGTCGAGGGCCGCGACGATCCGCCTCCGCCGCCTCGCCTCCACCTGCCCGGTGCGAGAGGCGGCCCGAGCCTGCGCCCGCGCCTGTCGGAGCGCCTCTTGCGCGCGCTCTGCGCGGCGCCGCTGGCTCGCCGCCCGCCACACGGAGAGACGGCGCCGGAGGCACGCGCGAGCCGCGAGAGAGCGAGCCGCCTGCTCGCCCGCGAGCCGCCGGGCCTCGGCCTCGGCGGCGGCGCGGCGCTGCGCGAGCCCCTCGAGGACGTCGGTCGGCTGCGCTTCCCGCCAGCCGACGAAGCCGCCGCCCACGACCCTGCAGCCCCGCGCCGCGGCCGTGGCGTAGTCTGCCGCCTTGAGCCATCCGCGCTCTGGCGGGAGCGGCGAGGTGGGCTGCGGTGGCGGGGGCGGCGCGGTGGGCGACGGCGACGGGAGCGAGGCGGGAGGCGGCGAGGGCAGCGCGGGAGGCAGCGGCGGGGAGAGCCGAGCCGATTGTGGCGGCGGCGAGGGCGAGTGCGGCGAGGGCTTCTGCGGCCTCGCTGGCAGCGACTCGGCCGCCTCGTCACGCGGCACCCGTGCCTGGGCAGACAGGTCTGAGCTGCGTGCCCGTGCTCCCGAGTCCTCCTCCTGCTGGCTCACCCTGGTCGCGGGGGATTTTGACATAGGGTGCGCCCGCAGGGTCGGCGGCGGCGACGGCGAGCCGGGTAGAAGCAGCTGCTGCGGCGGAGCGGCGGGGGTCGGCTGCGGTGGCAGCTCCCATTGCCCACGACGCTCGAGCTCGGCTCGCAGCTCCGGCTCCCTCGCGAGCTTGCGCTCCTGGCCCGGCACGAGCGGCTCGCCCCCGCTGCGCCGCGCCGCGATTGCGTCGATCTCGGTGAGCAGGCGTCGCAGTCGCTCTGTATCCAGCTCCTGCGTCGGCTTGCAGAACGCCTGCCCGGTGCGGTACTCCTCCTCGAGCGGCTTTACCTCCTCGAGCGGCGTCGGTGGAGACGTCGGCAGCTGCGCCGCGCCCTCAGGCGGCAGCCAGCGCCCGCCCGCCCGCCCGCTCCGCCCCCATGGCGCCGCCGGCCACTGCTGCGGCCAGCTCGCGTCGCGCACGCTCGCGACGTATTCGCGGCCGGCGGCATTGCGGCGTACGACCAGCCTCGGCGGCTTCACGCCTTTGCCTCGGCGGGTCGGCGCGGTCAGGTCGGCCTCTCCGTTCGCCTGGAAGCGCGCCTTCCGCTCGCGCCGCCCAGTGGCCTCCGACTCGTAAGTCGCCTCCCACTGCAGGACGCGCGCCTCGCTATCGGGGAGCGTCTCCTTGGGCCACGAGCTCCGCAGTTGCGCGCGGACGCCCCCGGCGAAGGCCATGGCGTCGCGTGTCGGCGGGCCGAAGTAGCGCTCGTCCTCCTTGGCGAAGGCCTCCGCGCTGCCAGGCATCTCTCCGGCGAGGGCGTCGGCCAGCTGCACGGCGCCGTCCTCCGCAGGCACGCCGCAGCGGAGCTGCCAGTGGTCGTCGAGCGCGGAGGCCTGCGCCTCGTGCTGAAGGAGGCAGGCGCGGAGGGCAGTGTTGGCGGAGGCGACGCCTTCGGCCGCGACCTCGAAGGGACCGTCCCCATCCTCGTCGGAGGAGAACCGTCTCCCGTGAGCTGGTCCCGTTGGCGGCGGGTAGGCCGGCACCTGGGTGGTGGGCTCGGGCGGCGAGGGCGGGGTCGACGGCGGTGGCCGGAATTCGCCTGCTCTCGGTCGTGGAAGCGAGCGGCCTCCGGGTGGTTCCTTTACACCCCCATACGCACTGCCGCCTGTTTCGGAAAAACGCACCCCGCTCGGCTGAACACGCCCCACAGACAGGGACAGGGGACGCGGCTCCCCTTGCGCCGATTGCGGTGGCGGCGGCGGTGGCGGCGGCAGCGGCGGCGGCGGCGGCGGCGGTGGCGGCGGCGGCAGCGGCACCGAGTACCGGCGGCTGATGCCGCCGCCGGTGCTGGGCTCCTGGCGGCGCATGACCCTGTTCCCCGAACGGAACTCATCCGGGCCCGATTTGCGCCTGGCGCCCGAGAGCTCCCACCCCCCCTCCGCCGTCGCGCGCTTCTCGAGGACGACCCGCAGCGTGCCAGTCTTGATGACGCGCCAGAACTCCAGGTTCTCGAAGGGTTCAGTCACGCCCGCTTTGTAGAGATGCGTCGCCGCCGCGCACAGCGCCCCGTCGAGGGCCTTGAACGTCTTCTCGAACCTGGGGTAGGTCGCGCCGGACGGCCCCCCGGCGCGCCCTACCCGTCGGCCTCCCTCGTCCGTCGCGTATCTGGCGAGCCGAGGGCCTCGCGGCAGGTCGCGCTCCATGTCTTCCACCGCGCTGCTGAGGCGTTCGAGCAGCGGCAGCGACGGCGGCGCCGCTGGCAGCTGGGCGACCCGCCGGGCGTACCTCCCCTCGCCGAGGAACTCGTCTCGGAAAGCGGTCGTGGCATACGCGTAGTCGAACTCCGCCTCGACGCGGTGGACAAGGAGGCGCAGCACCCGGCTCGCGTGGACCGCCACGTAGCGTTCGGGGATGCGGAGGAGGCCCTCGGGGTAGTAGGCAAACGCGCCGCCGCTCGGCCGCCAGTGCCGCCCGATGTGCGCGTCGAGCGCGCGAGCCACCAAGTGCGCGCGCCCGACGTGGGCCACCCTCGCGCGCGCCCATGCCTCGTCGTGCCCCTGCAGCGCCACCGTCTTCTTGGCGATGCGCTCACGCTGCGCGCGCCACGCCTCCTCCTCGCGCGCCCGTTTGCGCTGCCGCTCGGCTTCCTCCTCGGCCGCGAGTTCCTGCCATCTCGTCGCGTTGCACTCGACCTCGCCCTTCCTTCTCGGAATGCGGTAGAGGAGGGGCTCGCCACTCGCCCCGACGCGAGCGGTACCGCCG